CACACACACACACACACACACACACACACACACACACACACACACATACAGTAACTGAGACTTCTAAGCAAAAAGTTAATAGCACCCAGTTGTTCAGTGCCAGAGACAGACCCTGTGGGAGTGAGGTGGAAGGGTGGTACCGAAGCTTAGTCTAATGAAACAAGCCAAGAAGGCTGCAGTTTCCCAACAAATATACAGGGCAGCAAATGTTAAGAGATTTTTTTTGGTATGTGTTAATCAAACACAAAAGAAAAACCACAACAATCATTAACTTTTTTGTCCTATCCCTTTCTTTTCTACACTTTCCCCCCCAGCGCCCTTTAAAAAACATGTTCAATTTTAGTTACAGCCAGCTAGCCACTCTTTAACCTTGTCATAACCTGCCAGCAAGCATATCAAAAGTCATAAAAGTTTGGAGGAGGGCAAGGATATAATATTAAAGATTGGGTGGTGAAATGCAGGGGGGAAAAAACATTAATAAAGCAAAGCTAAAAGAAGAAAATATGATGAGACGGGGGACACAGATGGCAGGGAGGGAGGATGGAGAAAGCGGGATGGGGTGGAAGATGATGTGCTGGATGTCTTCCTCCTCTTCCATCAGCAGAAGCCTGGTGGTGGGAGAGTGCAATAATGAGAACAGCTGCAGTGGATGCGCTCACAGATACACACACACACACACAAAGCAAAAAACACTCCTCCAGCCACTTAGCCACCCACTCTTCATCAGCAATTCCACATAAACACATTTTTACACACAGGCAAATAGGCACACGTCATCACTCTTACCCTCACACTCGAAGGCTTGCAGCACAGTGGTATAAGTGGGGCCCAGCCAAGAGGAGTAGCTACCCAGAACTCTCTGCAGGTGGTGGGTGGCATCACTGAACAGCAGATCGGATTGGCCATAGCCTGCTGAGCTGAACAGGCTGAAGCCCTCCGTGGCATTGCCAAACACATTCTGCAGGAGAGAGGAAGTGTGTGACTGCGCTTAATGCATGAGGGCATGCATGGATGTGCGTTGGCGTTCTGTGTACATAAGTATCTTTCAGATTGTAAGTGCAGGCTGGCCGGATCAGCACAGGACGTATCAATCATCCTGGAGTCTCCCACACACTGAGTACGGAGGAAGGGTGACAGTTTAGCAGATACCTGCGTACTAAGTTGTGCAGATAAATAGCACAGGCTCCAGAGATCCACACACAGCTCTGTGGAAAAACGTGCATACACACACACACTCTCACACACACAAAGGCAAAGCACATGCAGCTTATGTCCACACCCACCTGTAAGCGTTCCAGGTACTTCCAGACACGGCACTTGTCCTCCATACGCACCACCACAGCGTTGGCAGGGACTGCGGCAATGTGGCATCGTTCATACTCCTCCAGACCGGCATCCGTTCCATCAGGACACAGCAGCTTCAGGTCCTCCACCTCCAGATCCAGGGCCCAGGACTCTTGGTTCTTACCTGGGCAAGAGAGGAGATGTATAAACAGGAGATTGGGATTTTGGGAAATGCACATTTGACTTCTTTCACAGCGTTACATAAGACAAATTAAACCAGTCTGTCTGTTAAATGTAAAGTTCAGCTACATTATTAAGACTGCAAACAGTTAGCCTGACTATTAAGGGATTAGGTATCTCTGACTATGACAGAGCAAAGTCCACATGCCAACGCCTCTAAAAGCCAGTAATGAATATGCACTTGCTTTAACATGGTTTTACTGTGGTTTAGAGAAACTAGTGTATTTCTTGGCCAGCTGTAGAGATATCCTGGGTCCTCATCATGATGATAAGATTACAGTAAGTTGTGGGTTGCCAATTTAGCTCAGTGGGTGAGCAGGCGAGCATGTGAAAGAAAGTAGCAGCCTGAGTTCGAGTCTGACCTGCAGCCCTTTGCTGCATGTCTTTCCCTCTCTGTCTGTCTACACTGTCTCTGTCCAATAAAGGCAAAAATGCCACGAAAGTAATATTTAAAAAAAGTTTACAGTAAGTATACCAAGACATAGTTGTTCATATAATTGCACGGTCTCCCTCTGAGTTAAGTCTAAGGAAAGTAACATCATATGCATTGACCTCCTTATCTAAAACCATTTGAAAGCTGTAATGTTTAGTATGTGATTATTCCTCATACACTGAATAAGCTATTTATATTAACTAAGAACTACTTTAGTTTTTTATTTTCTTTTGTGCATTCATTAATTTGTTTATGATGACACATTTATCAAACAGTGCAATCCTGATTTATGACTAATTTACCAATATTTTATATGCTGTTTTTGTCAGATTTGATCGGTCCCCTGAGAATTTTAAAAAGGGAAACAAAACCCCGTTTAACAAAACAAACAACTGTGTGAAAAAAGGGTAAACCACCTTGAAGCCTACAGCATTCCCAGACAACAACCCAGACCTTCTGTGTTTTCCTGACCTCTGTTAATCGTTCCGACTCTGGACATTTCTGAACCATATGATAAAACATGCTTCGTTAAGCAGCGACAGCATTTTGTGGAGCTGGCGTCAAACTGCTCCTTCTCGGCTATACCAGCAGAGCCTGTGTAGCGTGACGGCGATAATGATCGCCATTAATTTTGGATGTTGCCCAAAGCAGAGGAGCAGATGCAGCAAACAGAGAATTAGGGCACTTCACTGCTGGACAAAATGTCTGCAACTCTGTGACTATCCTGTGTGTGCGTTTGTGTGTGATATCTGTTTCTTTTTCATTCTCGCTCTTATCTTCTCTTGTTTTCAGATTGCTTACTTTTCTCTCCGCCTCACATTCCCACATATTATCATATGACATCATAATTACAGTGCAATCCGATCACTGTATTCCACTTTCTGTAAAAAGCACAAATGGGTTATGAAACACTGACATCCTATGTCTTGACAGGGAGTTGCACCCTCTGCATATTCCAAGCAATGTAATCACAAATTGAGACATTATAAAAATTATATCACACAACAACGACTATCATAGTCTCTAAAATAAACAATAGTTTGCACACTGACCATCCAAATTGTCAAAGACTGTTGTGTGTTTGACAAAAGCCACGTCGCCGAGGTTCTCAGCCACGCACCTGAACGAAAACACACAAACAGCAAGACACATTCAGTCTATAAATAGATTGAAATATGAATGAAATCAGCACAGTTGCCAGTGTGCTACTGTTAACACACTCTGGAGACCATAAGTAAACTCCCTCTGCCACTTACTGTGGCACTTTAAGAAATCACCCCCTGTAGTTCTTTTGTTCCCCTCTGAAGTACATTCAGTACTGTGCCAAAGACTGTTCTGCACAGACGGCAGTACTGCACAGCAGTATTATATATTTATACTTTAATACATACATGATTTTTTAAACAAATCATGCGACACAATCACAGGAACTGTTAGATTTATTATTTTCTGCTCTCTTATTTTAATCTGGTTGTGTGTTCCATCTGTTCACTATATATACACACAGTAATTTGTCACTGTATTGTTATTATCTCTACTGCATACCTTCAGATAAGGCATACACTAGAGTTCCACTATTATTTTCTTTATGGAGGCAGCATGCTGGGATGGATATAAATTGAGGGCAGACACAAAGGCAGCAGTCATAACATCTACTTCACCTCTGGGTGCTGTTGTTGTATTATTTCCCATGTTACTAATGTCAGTGTACCTCAGAGCTCCCGATTCTCCGTAATGCCGCTCTCTGTGGTTGTTGGCACAGATGTATCTGTCGTTCTCGTCTCCTATACAGGCCTCGCAGAGGTTCTTTGGATTGTTGCCTCTGGGATCGTGCTGGGGATCCTTAATGCCTGGCACGCAGCTATAGCCGAAGAAGTTCCCCACCACTAACAATAAAAAGACACAGACACCAAAGAACACTTGAAAAGTCTTCTGCACTTTCATGCTTAAGGTTTTTGTCCTGTTTATAAACTATTGCATGGTCAGCATATGGACTGTACAAGGCTACAGAACGCTCTAAACTCAGTTAGTATGATGTAATTGAGAGGGGATATCCTTATTGTGGTCATCTTAAGCTCACACTACTGTGATCACAGAAGAAATCTCAGACAGGGTGAACTGTGAGTCATGCCCAACTACTCAATTCCAAGAGTTAAGAGAGTCCAAGAATAAAAATATAGTACTGGAAATGACCATAAAGGGTCCCTGTCAAAGTAAATAACTCAGGTCCACTTGTCTTTCTTTTTCATCTTCCCACTGTTGAATTTTATAGTTTGCTATCAATATCACAAGACTTTAAAAGTCAGATTTATCTTTTTTTTGTGCAGTTTAAATTTACCTACTGATTTAAAATTAAATAAGTATGAGCCTCTTCACTGTTTGGGACCACACGTGCAAGTTATGCTCAGCCAAAAATGTATTTTAAGACCAGTCTCTACAAGATTTGGATGCTGGATTTTTATAGAAAAAAAGACCACACTAAATTCTTGATGGTTGGGAACCATGTGTCCAGAGCACCATAATAATAAACTTTAAGAGACAGCATTTTCCTGTTTATCTTTCCTTCTGATTTTTTTTATTGTGTTTCCCCTTTTATCCCCTTATCCACCTCACATTTACAGAAAGAAGCACTGTTGTGTGACAGTCTCCTCTCCTTGCATCTCCAGTCTGCCTCATTTCTTCATCTCTTGGTTCCCCTTCACTGCTTTCCCAATTTCCCCTCCTTGCATTGAACATTTCATACACCTTCCACCAAAGCACACCTACACTTATATCACCCCTGTCCCCTCTGACTCACCTCTCGGGAAGTTGCACTGCTCTCCTACACTGATTTGGGATGTGTTGACCAAATAGCCAATGGGAACAGTCCACCCCACTGTGGTTCGAATGCCGGGGTGACAAGAGCTGCGCTCATGCATCTCGAGCAGGGACAGGTCTGAGGAGGAGCGGCGCGCCATTGCCACCACATAGTAGCTGATACCATCTACAGAAGAGACCAAAAATGAAAAATAAATAAAAGGAATCAATTTTAAAATTGGGATTAAGCAGTGGGTGCAAGAAAGTATTTTGTGTGAACAGTATCTGCATTTTGGCATAAGCCGCAGAGACTTCAGTGCCTTCCTGTGTCACCTGCTGCAGACCTTAAACACGTGACTTACCTACACCATTGTAGGACTCTCCTGCAGCAAGCTCCAGGCCATGGCAGAAACCAGCAGCATAGATGTCATCTCCAAACATGGAGGCTGCATCTGCAGTTCCATTCTGAGCAAAATATATATTCATATTTTTATATTTCCCATTTTATGTCTCACAGATACTTTTTATTTTCTTTTGTAGTCACTTTTTAGATATAACAGTTCCTATTAATGTTAAGAAATTTCAACTGCCATGCATCTGACAGAGCTGATATAAAAATTAATAAAATAAAATAAATTAAATGTACGACAGTTTTTGGTAAGAATCTACTTTCCCCATCAGTTGTTTCTTGTGTACCTTGATTTTTTCCATACAGTCCCTGGTGTTTAAGCCACGGACACACTGCAGTGTTCCTTTTACATTTCGGGCTGTAGCGTTTCCGGCCAAATCCAGACACTTCTGCTCCTCAGCATCAGACAGCACACACCAGGAGACTTTTCAAACACAGTAGGGACAAGTTGCAAATTACATATGTGCAAACTTTAAACAGTTAGACCTCAAATTCCACAACTCGTGCAGTTCTGCCACTAAAGCCTCCTTTTAAATATACAAACAAGCAGGATTTGATCACTGATGTTTTTAGCATTAACCTCCTAGGACCTGGTGTCCACATATGTTGACTACACATTTTGGGTTGTCTAGACCAAAATATCAAATTTTGCTCTACAAGGGCCTGATATCCACTTACGAGAACGTTACACTGCCACTGTTCTATCTATTCTAATTTAATGTGAATGTCCTCTTATGTGAATCTCATTTTTCTCAGAAACAAAAATAAGGTAAAAAAAAAAAATCACGTTTTTACATTCATCAGGTCCAAATCAGCCCAAATAGCAAAGAGAAATTAAAAATGCATGCCATGGAAGAGTTCAGGTCTTAGGAGGTTAATCTGGCTATCCAACAGTATTAAATTGATACCTGTAGTTTTTTGATTGGAGAGACATCTGACATACAGAAGAGGCAGAAAAAGCAGGAACGCTGAAAGCAGTCTTCTCCCTGGATACTCCATGTCAGCTCTGGATGGAAACCTGCTTGGGACTAACTCGCTAACACAGCTGAGATGAGGAACAGGTGGAATACATTAAGAAAAGTCACTTGTGTGTCCCTTCCCTCGCTTATTATTTGGTCTTAGGAAGAGAGAGGGTGAAAGGTAAGAGAAAGAGATAGGTAGGCTGACTGTAGAAGAAACCATCACATTATTCCTCTTTCCCCGCCTCTTCAGTTGAAAGTCCTAGTAGATAATCCTTCCTCCATCTCATGACAGCAGTATAGCATTTCCCTCTCTAATTATCCACTGAGACTTATCCCTAGTGGAGAGGATAGTGGTAGAAACATGCAGGCTCGGAGCAGTTCAGGTCACCTGGCACAGAGTGTCGACCGGGGGTCTTTAATTAAAGAAAGCTGCGGATAATGTGTCTCTGTGCTGGAACTCTGTTCCTGGAGAATAGATACTGGCTGGGTCTTGCTCTGACTCACTGGAGACCTAAGCCTCAGGTAAGCAGGAACAAACAGCACTGGCCATTGTTCATGGTCAACGGACCCTGTGGAGGGAAAACGTATTGGATACTTGATACAATTCTCCTTTTCGCTCTCTGCTCTGCACACACATAATAACACATCCACACGCGTACACACAAACACACACGCACAGAAACTCACTGCCATTTTTCTTGACATCTACTGTGCCAATCAATAATTGAAGGAGTCTTCAGAGGTGAAAAGTGAAATTAATATAGCATTGAGTCCATATTTTAGGTGCAGTATTATGTAATAATAGATCTGCATGAGAGCTGAGGGCACGAAGAGTCCTATTGGTTTTCATGAAACTTTTCAGGAAGAGGAAAGTTGGGAGATCTGATCTTCTGCACACTTCAGTGAAGGGACAGGGAGCACAGAAGGACTTTTGAAGTCTAGCACTCACATAATACTGGTGATTAAATGTGGAGTTTTGAGAAATTAGTGAGAGAAAATAGGGTTTTCCCAAAAGAACCTGTTTAGATGAACTTCTGAAACATTCAGATCTTTATCTTTAATCATTTGGTTCATATCAATAACTGTGCTATTTTTCCTTTTTTCTATTAATTTATTTACCTTGCAAGCAAGCAAGCAATGTATTTATATAGCACTTTCAGAACAACACAGCTGAACACAAAGTGCTGTACACTTGGCATGCCAAAAATGATACATGAATATGTTAAAAAAAAAAAAAAAAGATTTACCCTAAATAAATAAATAAAAACTTAAAATCATAAAATAAGCACAAATAGCACAAAAAAAGTATAAAATGATAATTAGAATTAAAAACAATAAAATGAACACAATAGATTCAAAACAATAAAATCAATAAAATCAGGGTCATACAGTGTCATATGTAAAAATGGTTTTTAAGACGCGTTTTAAAACCACCATTGACCACCATCACTGTAAATGTTTTATTCCTTGGAGGATGAAGACAGCATGAAAACATAGGCAAAAAGACAGATCAATTCAAAATGCTCTCTAAGGCTAATGCTAGCGTAGCAATGGCTCTACTGAGTCAAGTTCAGCCAACAGAAACCTGGCAGATCAGGTGACCTTAACACCTGCTGAAGGCTCAGCCGATGCTTGTGGCAAATCTTATACAGGACATGTTATTTATGTTGCTTCTGCCTGCATAAAGCCTGATAACCTGTTTAGATGGACCTCTGAAATCTGCAAGTCGTTTTGCAACACACCTCCACACCAGCTGCTCCATTCATACTTAATTTAATGTTTGTTGTCTCTGCTGTTCCAAGAGGGAGTCTTGCTGCTCCTCGTCCCGCTTTTGCCTTTCCACATCAAAGCTGCATTGCCAAAATAATTACTAGAGATGGAATGATATTTGCCTTGCAATTGAGAACAATAGCAATTTTGAGGTCAATATCTTGCTCAGCACATTCAGGAGGAATGTGACCTGCTCTGTACTATATGCAGGAGTTGCAGGAGACAGATGTCTTAAAACTGAAATAGAAATGTGACCCACCTGGATGGATCACTACTGAATCTTAATTAAGAAGCATTTCTTCATCAGTTTTAAAGAGGTACAGAAACAAAAACCCTGACATGCATAAAAAGTGTGTCACAGCAAGAAGTTAGACCTGACCTTATTGCAGTGTATCACTCTGAATAATTAGGCAGCAAATCATTTGATAACTGGTTCATAATTAAAGAGAATCAAACTCATCTAAATGTAGTCATTGCCAACTTTTCCCCAGAAAATAACAGTGTCTTTAGTTGTAATGTGAAGTTCACCAACTTTTATCAAATAAAATAATCAGCAGTTTTTACACAAATTTCTTAACTGGGAAACAAAGATTGCATCATGTCTGAATACTGCTCCTAATGGAAGTCACTGGTTATTTTTAGTCTTGTTTCTAAATGTCTGTGTATAATAGCAGCAATAACAGCTGTAATAATAGCAAGAAAGTCTCCCCCACACAGACCAAAGTATAAGCGAACTGTAAGATTTTTTTTTTGAACTAAAATTAAAGGTGAGTTCATAACTTCTCCTCTGGGTTGTTGCTGTGAGTCATAGTTCGTATTTGGAAAGCCTGTGCTCTGACACTAGTCCTCTACTAAGTCTAAATTTAGTCTACTCAAGTGAGACAAAAACAGATATTTGCCAGTGTCTTTAACTTGAATATGATGACATGATACATAAATATAGGTTTCGATGGTTTCAGATTTTTTGATTACAATCTGATATAGGTAACAGGAGGTTCAGTGCTTATTTCAATAGTTTAGAGGTTGGTGCTATCCCTAATATGTGATGCTCTGCTCATGTGTCTTTTTCCTGATGTGGGAAGATTGAATAGGTGATGTACAGGGTTGGAGGGGTCAGTGATGATGCTTCCAGCCTTCCTGGTGATTCTGGTGCCATAGTGTAAAGCTATGGAAGATAGACCTCAACCAATGACCTTGAAGGGGCTACTTACTACTTTTTCAAGCAATTGTTTGCCCTGATTGATTGTGTTACTATACCAAGTCAGGATGGAGAAATTAATCCATAACAGTTTTATACAAATGAATTATACTTTCCCAACTAACCCTGTATTTCCTTGGTTGGAGGAAATAGAGCCCCAGGTGCGCTTTACTAACAATGTGAAACAGTGTTTAAGTCCAATGATGACGACTTGTATAGGCACATGTAGCCTCTCAACAACCGGCCCGTTGATAGAGAAAGAGATGTTGAAATGCCTTCTTTATAAAGCCAAAAATCAGCTGTCTGGTATCCGGATTTGATCTAGATTTGATATAGATGCATATGTGACCTTTTAAAAATGTATTTATTGAAATTCAGCTTAAGTAAATAAGTGATTTAATACAATGCACACTCTTTCAGTGTAAAATTATCACTGCTGGGTTTTTTTTATCAATGTAAGAGGATTTAAGCAGGTTTAATACTGTAGCTGGTCACCGTGGGACCAACTTTAATAGCTCAATGCATCTTTGTGTCATTTAATCTATAACAATACATATATAATATTTTAAACAATGATATGAGAATTAACAAGGGTATGTTGTGAAGTAAAAAGCGAATCTTTCACTATTAGAAACCAGCATAATGCTAAAAAATGCACTTAAATTCAATAAGTGCTTACACAAACGTGTAATGATTGCAGCCTAGGACCCATTGAGCAGCATTTACTGACCACGGAGGTTAACAAACAATAGTCTCTTCTCATTTAATTATCATATAATAATGGCTGACGTTATTAACACTTCAAATACACATTAATATCACTGGCGTTACACTGATTTTAAGTTGGCGGACTTCTCTGCCCCACAATGCAACTTGATGTTAATGTTTTGGTGACGTCAAGTGTAGCTGGAAGCGAAAACAGCCAGTGGGTGGGCTGGGCAGTGGTCCCTTCTTTTAGTGGTTTTACATCGAAAATCACGCCGATACGATTATTTAATACTCGTGTACGAATGTGCAGGCTTAACAGCATGAGTTAGAAACTGCGCTGCGTGTGCGCCAGGTAGGTGGGTGTTGTTTTAATGCTCTGTTTTGGCTGTCCTCGTTCGGCTGTCAGTCTGCGCTTTGTGCTGTGTGGCTAGCTTAATTTAGCTTAGCTTAGCTTAGTTTACAGGGCAGCAGCACCAGGCATCCTGGCGCCTCCGGGGCGCCTGTGAGCGGCCAATGAGGTCGCCTGTTAATGGCCACAGCAAACAACTAGTTCCCCTATCTTTTTTTTCCTTTTAAAGAAGGATTTGCTGATAGCTTTGGTTGTTTCTGAATGTTAGGTCAAAACCAGAGGCTGACTTTAGTGTATGTTTGTGCATGCTAGCCTGCGGAGGAACAGTTATAGTACATCAAGTCTTATATATAAAGCAATTAGTCTATTAGTCAACCACTTAAGAACAAACCACACGATTATATTATGTTCAGGTGAAGACATTTATACATTTGGAAGTAATTCATGGTGACTGTCTTTTTAAAAAGGCTTCTGTTTAATCCATTGCACTAATGTATACTAAGTAATGGTTTCTAAGACAAACTGAACTCATTCAGCCTTTATAATTTGTTGTTTCATTTCTGTATGGAGCCTTATGAGGCTCGTCAGATAACATAAAGAGGCTAAATGTAATTATGAGTGTACTCCTCTGAACTCTCTGGCTCATCTTGCATCTTCTCCCCACTCTTAGTGCACTGAAACATGGGTCGTTGCAGTGTCCATGTCCTGCTGCTGCTCTCGCTGCAGACTCTGTCGATATCAGCTGAGGGTCCAGGTATTGTACTCATGTGCTTTTTCATTTATTGTTTGTGAGACTGCTTCTCGCTGCTTTGTGCTCAAGCCTGAATATTAAATTGCTGGAGATTGTTTATTTGTAGTAGAAAAATAATACCCGGAAAAGGTATGGTCTTTAATTTTATGTGTGATATACGACAAAAATAAATAAATAAATAAAATTTTTACAAGTGATGTACTCTGGATTTGGAAAAAAAAGAAAGAAATTAAGATGTAAGCTGATGTGTGGCTGGAGCTAACTGTCACACACTGATAGCAGACTCACTCTCTTAAGGCAACATTTACTTAAGTGGCAATGTTGTACTCATTTTGTAGCGAGAAAATAAGTGATGTCAGATCATTTTTATCTTATTGAATAAAACGGATATGACAAAGTTTAAATTTGATGACATAATTTGCAGTTAAAAACATTTGAGAAGTTGCA